TTAATTTCCTTTTTATTGACATTGACTTAAAAGGTAGTGGAAGGCCGAGGTTATAAAAGAAGGGGGTTTAAAAGCTTAAATATGCCCGGTTTTCAGCCGAAAGGTGCTGAATAAAATAAATGAAAGAAATAAAATATAACTGCTGGAGAATATATTATTTGCAAAATTGCAACTAATCAATGACCAACTTGGGGCCGATTCCACCATTGGGTTTAACGAAGTTTAAAATGACATTTTTACATAAAATTTAATTTTAATCTTCAATTAATAGTTTAAACTTTAACACAATGATGGAATTAACCCTAAAGTGTTGAAATCATTCACAGAAAAAATAAATAGTACATTTTTGGTTCACATAAGCGACAAAAGTAAACAGAGTTCGATTTATTGGATCAGTCGTCACACGTTTGCACTAGGGCACATAAATAGCTCAATCTTTAGTTTTTCGTTTTTCTATGAGCCCAATGCTTCTGTCTATCGGAAAGTACAAGGTCGCAAATGTCAAGTAATCTAACCATGGAGAAAGAATCTTTAATTAACAGCTTTCTCGAAATTAAGAACAAATGTTCATATACTAAAAGCTCGAAAATCAGATATGAAACTTAATGCAAGGCTCGCGGAAAATGGCTAATAAGCAATCTCTGTGTAGGTAGATGCACTATTCAGGAAATCAAAATGTGGATTAATCTTACTTGGTCTTGGTACTTTTGTAGATTTAGACTGAAAGGTGTATATCTTCATGCAAGACATTCAGTAAATCAGCGAAGCCACAACCAGCGGTGTGCAGGTGCACTTCTAACAAATGTAAAATATGAAGTGATCTTACTTGAGACCTATAGATCCAATGACGATAGTATGGTAGTTGGTTTGAACTGGGCTTCTCACCATCTGCAGAGATTATGGCTACTTATGTAAAGGCCTACCCTAATAACACACAACATGCACCACAAGCGTCCCGGTCCATTTTAATTGGTCTATGCACAATAATCATGCATGTATAATTGAAAGTCAGACAAAGAATGTGAAGATAAAGTTGAAGTCTCAATAATTAAAGTCACAGATGAAGTTAAAGTTAACAGCGAAAGAGTTGAAATTGTAGGATGGTGATAAAGGGAGGCCAACAGCTAGGTAATAAATGTTTATTGAGTTAGGAAAAGTATCCACTGTGCTTTTCTTAACCACTAAGGTAAAAACCAGAATATTTTCTAATACACAATTTCTTCGCTAGGCAAAATAAGAAATAAATTTGTGAGAGTACTTCCCAAGTGTTTTTCCAAAAGCTCTAAGGACAAAATTGACGAAAATGGCCTAATCCAAGTTCAAATTCTAAAACTTGAACATTAAAGATAAGTATCTTACAGTAAAACAAGTAAAACCCCGTTGTTGACTAAATGGTTGAATAATTCATTACCTAGGTGGAGGTAGAACAGGGACTAGAGTTTAGCAGAAAAAGCTACTAGAAAAGGTGAACAAAACAGACTGGGGCATATGAACGTCAAGCAAATATTGTAAATGCAAATAATGTGTGCTGTGATTAAATAAAAGTGTACAAGGAATAAAGTTTTAATATTTTCTTATCCATATCTATGAGTGATATTTATTTTTAATACTAGACAAACGGTTTTGATTTTATTGCTAGTCTCATTAAAAAAAGACTAATGTTATTTTTTTTTCGACTTATGGCCAAGGTGTATATACCTAATATGCCAGTCTCAAGCTTGTGTTTAAATTCTTAATAATTGTGTTCTGTGTAGGCTTTGTTACTGTTTCCCAGCGCCACTTCAGGAACAGCACTGTTAATTATTAGAACCCAACAGTGAATGGTCGAGTGGGGAATCATACCAAGGCATTAGAAAATATTTTTATTATTATTAGAACTTATATACAGTGTGTTCATAATATGCACTGTACAAACTTAAATATTATATTCCTGAATTCATTTCAAGCATAAAATGTCCTATGAACAAATATCCAATTCTACATGGTTACCAAGCTGCAAGAGTTTAAATATCAAAAGATATATTAACACAGTATGCCATGTTTTAACTTTCAACGGGAACTGTAATTGCGAGCGATAAGTGCAACTGCATGTTTATAAATCGGCCTTTATTGCCGCAACAGTTGTTATTGTTTAAAATGAGTTCAAATATTGAGTATTTAAATAATAAAGCAGAATCCCGCTTAATACCACAAAAATCCGAAGCGGTTTATAAAAAAGAATACGATAAATTCAACACGTGGATGGAAGAGCAAATGGTTACACATATAGATGAACGCTGAGAAATATACTGGATATGGAGGGTAGAAAAAAGGAGGACAATCTTATATGGATCTTTATATTAAAAAGTGGCCACCAAAATGTATACAATTAAGATGGCGCTCGTGTAGCCAGGGGACAAAATCCAATGCTATATAGTCATATAGATTGCTCATTCATAAGAATTATTTATTGTTTATATTATTATTTTTCAATAAAATTTGACTATTGTCGTGTATTGTCAAAATTTATCTACGATCACAGAACACTTACTCTTCTACGATCAGTCACTTTTCACGGTGTAGTTTTTAGTGGTTGAACAATATTTATTACTATATACATCATTGGTGTCATTGTGTGATCTGAACACATACTTTGATTACTATACGAGGCAAGAGAGAGGTCCGACACGCCCAACATAGGGCGCGGATATTTTGAACCCTGTGACACAGTTTACAGATAAAGAATCAGATCGCTCACTCTGCGTCGACACTTTGGATCTCAATGTTCCAGTTTATACACTGCGCAACTCGGATAATACAATATATAACAATCGCCTATAATAAAACAGCAGTCTTCTGCGTATCCTGAATTTGTATCCCTGGAGTGGATGTTATTTTAGAACTTTCAACTGGTCCGAGTGAGCTAACTGATTCTTTAGCAATAAACTGTGACTTCAAAAATAATATTCACTGACACTGACAGCAGCAAGCAAAATATCAGGTGCGTTTTAATCATCCGCTTCTGCTTCCGGAATTGTCGGTTTAGTCGTTTTAACCTGTCAGATTAAAACAAGAAAACTGACAATTCCGAAGCAGAAGCGGATGAGTAAAACGCACCTATTAAAAATATTGCGCCAAGATGTAGGCAACACGTAATAAGGGTTCAAAATGGCGGAGTTTTCGATCTCCTTTTAAAAGGCGCTCAGAAAGCTGCGCAGTGCGACCATTCTCCGTATAGTAAAAGAAAATCAAAGTATGTGGATCTGAATTATCGACATCCCCTGGGCACAGAAGCGCCATCTTAATTGTATACATTTTGAGGGACACTTTTTGTATACAGAGATTGTTCTCCTTTCCTCTACCCTCCATAATACTGGACATGCATTTCGACGTACGTCCGCTACCATTATGGCGAATAATGGCATGACAATAGATCAAATCCAACGACAAGTAGGATGGAAATCGGCAGCTGTGGCGACTGGTTACGTTGAAGAGAGCATTAATAATAAGAAGGTTTCAAATATTATTGGAAGTGCTATTAATAGAAATACAACGTCATTGACTTCCAATCTTAATTTGAACAGTATTTCCTCTGATTTAAAAAACCGAAGTTTTAATATTTCAAACAATACTAACTGTACTTTCCACATTCATTTAAACAATTAAGAACGTGAAAAAATATTTGAATAAATTTTTTGAAAAATTTCTCAGAAATATTTTATTTGACATTACAAGGCACTCCTGTCAGATCAATATTTAAAAAGTTGGCATTTAGACATCACGTTTCTCGGGTTGTTGATGTTGCCATGGTAACTTTAAAACACGCGCGTTTTTTAAAGTTCGTTTTAAACACGCTGAGGCGTACTTTAAATAAGTAAAATAGGGTACCAATAAAAAAATATATATTATACATTCTGAAACGCACTGTCAACAATGTGTCTGGTCGATTACGTCGAAATCTATTATACAGTATACAAAAAAATGTGTACACATGAGAAATGATTTAAAGTTTAACACATATGTGTGATAGGTAGGTACTAGTTAGAGGTGTGTCGTTCGCGAACGATTCGTTCAAAAAGAACGAATCAGTGCACTGACTCGAATGAATTAATTCCCTGTTTTTAAAAGATTCGAATCTTTTTTGAGTCAATTGTTCGACGGCTCTGTGATCGATCAAGAACGCCCAATTCCGAGTTTGGTTGTTTCGTTCATTCGGATCTGATTCGAAGATTCGGTATTTTAAATCAGCATCGGCAAATCGGTCGCTTTTGTTCTACGTTCTACAGCATAATACAAGAACTCGAACTTACAGGCGGTGGCGGTATGTGTCTGTAATGTTTTTCTCACTTTACCAGAGGTGTATTAAACTTTTAGGTAAACAATTTATGCGCGTTGTCTGATAAATAAATTTAAATCAAAGTAAATAAGTAAAGCAATAAATGACGAATCATATATCTATAATTTTTCGTTAGTTTTGGCTATATTTAGCATTAAAAAAAATTGTGTTACTGTTGTTTATCTTAACGGACAAGGATGAACCTACTATTATAGTATTTAAATTTCCATCTGTCTTCTTTTTATGAAATATTAATTCGCTATACTTTAAAATATCAAATTAAAATAAAACCGGTATTAATTATTTTACTTAAGCATCTCACCACTCAAATCATTACATTCTTTCTTACGCATTACAGACTGAACGCCACTCGACGACCTAGTAAATAGGTAGTTCTCAAATTCGTAAACGTTCGGTTTGATTTCCATCGGCGGAATAACATCGTTCGTGGTTCGCTAAAGTGAATCACTTGAGAACGAATCTTTAAGAACGAATCTTTTTAGGTGAATGAATCAAATGAATTAATTCAGTAAAAAGATTCGAACTTCCCACCTCTACTAGACATGTCCAGTCTAGTTTAAATCTTACCAAACGTTATTTGGGATAGAAGAGACAATTTTTGGATAGAGGATGGAAGAGGAGAGGATAGAAGAGTTAGATGATCAAATAAATAAAATACGAGACGTAACAAATATGACCTATATTACAGTAAATTTTTTCAATAAGATGTAAAATTATACTATACGTAGGTATAGGAACAGTCCCATCGATCTTTTAAAATGCCTTAAAAAATCCCGGCAGTTTCGGAGTAATTTATTTAAAAATATGTGGAACACCTAGAATAATTATACAAAACGTTCCAACTGACACAGTTCCATAATTATTATAATCACGTTTTCAGGCACCGTGTTATCTTTTTTTTTTGGTCGATCTAGTCTAGATGTTTGACAAATTAAGTAGTGGAACTTAATGTTTTACTTTTCCTTAAAAATTTCTCTTCCAGTTGACCAGGAACCTTTAAAAAATATTGCTATTTAATATATTCACTGGATAACAAAAATTGTTACAAAAAAAAAATGATTAGTAGTATTGTAATTTTTCAAAAATCTGCATTTGTTATAATTATAGAAGATTAATATTGCAGCTTAAAGATAAAATAATATATGTCACTCGGATTATAAGGCGTTTGTGTTTTGCTCAGTTTGCCCAGTATCGCCTGTGATAGCTTCAGAGTTCAACAATATGTTCGACTTCTAGTCCTAGTAACATAATATATAAAGCGATTTTGAAATATGAGAATGATAAATTCCCCCTAGGAAATTACGAAAATTACACCCTCATATCCCCAAAGTGAATAAATAAGCTGGAAAAGCTGAGAATTAGAGAAAGAAAAAGAGTGTCTCGGCCGGGAGTCGAACTTGAAATCTCGGACTTCAGCTGTCCATATCCTTATCAATTGAGTTACCAAAACCTCAGATAAACAAATGAGTACTAGATAACTAACGGTCTGGATATTTTTGAAGCCAGTATGAACCGTTTTTTTTCTATTACTTTCTCTTTCTCCTTGGTCTCTGATTTGATTCGTCTATTTTAAATAGCAGCGCCAAAATTTTCTCACAACTGTCAACAAGCACTAGAGAATTGTCAATTCTGTTTGTACATTTTGTATCATTTTATATTCCCAAGGCATATTTTTAAAGTTTTTATAGTTTCTAGAATGTTTCTTTAACGAATTTTCTTAGTTGTAAGTCTAAAAATTACTATTCAATGTTTGTTAGCCCCAAAATATAAATTTGGAAAAGTTCCACGTCGATTTGAAGGTCGAGTACCAACTCAGCGCGTATCCGGGTGCTGGATAGGAGAACGCCCAAGTTTTCCCTGGTTAGTGGTAGACATAAGTAGAGTGCGAGAGCCTAAAAACCTTTTACGAAGCCTACCGCCGCAAACCAACTCCTCCAATCTAAGGTGTAAGAGAACGTGCCGACGGATGAATTGTCGCAGGGGCAGATGCGGCAGCAAACGCTCCCCTGAGGGAACACCATATTGTATCTAGTCTTGCCGGCACATGCGAAGCTCTGCGTCGGTCGACCTTTCCTTCCCTAGCTACTCATGGGAACCATATGGACACACAAACAAAAAAACAAGAAACCAAAGAGGCTGGACGTCAACGCTCACCTCCAGCAAAGGAAACTAGACAACAAAGTCCAACTCGGGCGCAGGAGGCTGGACAGCGACGATAACCTCAAAAAAAGGAGGATGGACGTCAACGCTCACCTCTTGCAACGGAGCCTGGACAACAAAGTTCAGCTCCTGCACAAGAGGCTGGACAGCGACGCCCACCTCCAAAAAAAAAAGGAGGATGGACACAGTAGTTCACCTCCAACTAACAGGCCCCGGAGAGGCAAGATAATCTCTCGGTCTGAAGCAAAGAGGAAAAAGAGGGAAAAGCTGCAGACAGGCAGTGCTACGGCAACCGCCACCCTCAGCAAACTCCCCCACTTCAAACTAAATAAAAGCGGCTTAATCAAGTCCTTAGGTAGCGAGGCCTGCCTCTATAAGAGGCCATGAACACGACGCAACTAGGGACAAGAAAAGGCCGCGATCACATACCCTGGAAAGGGAAAAACCTAGACAGGACCACAAAGTTCTGACTGGAAAAAGCTACAAGGATGCAGCTACGAGCTACTAGAAAGTAGCTATAATAGACAAGGGTAACCATTACGGTAAGATAACTACCGAAAGAGAAATCTGTTAAAAAGACACTGATGATGGGAGAGCTGGACAAAACAATTTTGTCAGTCTCCTGCAGCAAAACCAAGCCACCCACATTCAGGTCTTGGACGCACTTCGGTGAAATCATCATAGTAACGTGCGACGATGACCTAACATTAGAATGACTAAAAAGCAAGGTACCAACCTTAAAAACATGGGAAGAAGCAACATTCGCAGTTCTAAGGATGGACGAGCTCCCCAAACTTACCCAAACCTCTCTCTGGATCCAAGGGGAAGTGCAAGCTTACCTTGACGAGAAACACGTTTTGCTCAGGCGACTTGAGGGGCAAAACCCAAAGCATGAAATCAATAAAGACCCTAAGGGCTATCTCCTCGTCTTCGGCATCGGAGACAAAGACATGGGAAATCTAAAGACCAAATCAATGAGGATGAGCTATGCGTTCACCTCATTGACTGGCAAGTGTCTGATAACATTTCGATGTCAGACCACCGCTGGTTAACATTCAAAATAAATTTGATGTTACCTACCTCCACGCTATCTCGGAATCCTAGAAAGACGGACATGGCAACCTATGCCCACCTTCTCCAGGAGGTTCTGAGAGAGATGGAGGCCGAAACACCAAACAATAACAATGCTTTGGAGAAGTACTCGAACACTATCCAAAGCACAATATACAATTCCTAAGAATATTTGTGTTCGGCGAGTATCGGCTAACACCGGCCGATATAAGAGAAGCACCTCTTGACGACGTTGTCAACTACATTGAATCTGTAGACTGGCTCACGAGCTAAGAGGTGCCTATCTTCTCAGGAGGATGCACAATGGGCCTAAGAGCCGTGGGGGTAACCCACCCTCCACACATTACAGAGAAACAATTCCTTTAAGAAATCCTGTTCTCTGAGGCTTACCGCATGGAGGTGTCACGAGTTGGATCACCTCAGGAAGATTGCTAGGAAATTCTTTAATAAAGCAAGAACCACAAAACGCAAAGAGGACTTGGGATACTTACAAATTTCACTTCAGAGAATACAAACAAAATCGTCAGACAAAAACAGAGAGATGCACGGAGATCCTACTGGAAGAAGGAAGAATACAACCCATGATTGGCAAACTGCCAAACACATTGTGGAGAATGAAAAAATTAGATGGACAATATCCAGCTTCTCTCCATTTAAATCGTCAGGACCTGACAGGACAGTATTTATACAGCCCTATTTCGGTGGGGTTTGGAAGAACTTACACCGCACCTGATGTATATATTCAGATCCTCGTTGGCTCTGAGGTATATCCCCAAAAAATGTAGAGAGTTAAAAGTTACCCAAACCTGGAAGGATGGATTACACTGTCCCAAAAACATACTGACCAATTAGTCTGACATCGTTTTTCATGAAGACAGTGGATTACAACAACACCACTACACCCAAACCAACATGCATACACCCCAGGCAGATCTACTGATTCAGCCCTTCATCTAGTTGCTGGCCGGATAGAGATCCCTGGACAATAAGGAGTCCACCTTAGGTGTTTTCATAGACATAGAAGGTGCTTTTGATAAAACCACCTTTTCAAAGATAATATACTCACTAACCAACAGGAATGTTCCACAGATGGTTAATAGGTGGATACAAAACATGCTCTCACAGCGAGTAGTAAACATAAGTGCAGAAGAAGTGAATATAAGGCCCGATTGTACAAAGCAAGCTAAAACCTAGGTTCAGGTGAACTCGGTAAATGATTGAACTTACTTTAAAAATTGGTATGAATTGTACATACCCCGCTCAATGTCGGTTTAGATAAACTTCATTGTTTAGGGTTGCCAGATTTTAATTTTACTAAATACGTAGTGTATCTTTGTTTCTCTTATTAGAAAATAAATGAGCTATATAAAATGTAATTTTTGACATTTTTACTCTAAAATTATTATTTTTAGAGGTTATACGTAGTTTTCCCTTGTGTTTCCAAACTGATAATATAAAGAACGCCAAACTTCACGCATGCCGAAGAAGGACTAGTGAAACTAGTGAAAAAATATAAAGACATTTTAGAAAATAAAAACAGATGTGAATGTAACGCACAAGAAGAATGAGTGCTGGATAAAAATTAAAAGTGAATTTAATTCACAAATCTTTGTACAAATTCAGTATTGATTGTCTATATATTTATGGTTGTCTTTCTGGTTGTTGTAAGATATTTGCTAATTCTAAAAAATCCTCGTCTTCAGACATTTCATCCATTTTTACGGAACAACTTCTATTAATTAGGAATTCAGTAAATCGCATATATCTTGTTTTCTATTTACCTACCTACGGTGTACGGTTTGTGTACGGTAACGTATAAGGTACCAACCCAAAAAATATTTTTTTTGTAGTGTGTTACCAACTAACTAAATTCAAAAATAGGTCTAAACTTGGTTTAAGCGCGGAAACATGACCGCTTTGTTGAACCTATAGATGAACGCAGTTTATGTTCTGAACTAGTATTGTACATCGCCAAGAACCAGGTTCATGCTAAACCGAGGTTCAACTCACATTGTACAATCGGGCCTAAGAGGTTTAGTTGCAAGGGGATGTCCACAGGGAGGGGTGCTATCACCTCTACTGTGGAACATGGTCCTCTACACCCTCATCAGCCGCCTCAATAATGACAGTCACTACACAGTAGCATATGCAGCTGACCAGGTCATTTTGCAAACGGGTAATTTTGAGAGCATACTCTGCGAAAAAATGCAAGTAGCTCTAAAACTTATTGAACAGTGGTGTAAGAACCATTCACTATCAATCCTAAGAAGACAAAAATGGTCGCTTTCACAAGGAAAAAGATGAAAATGGAATTAAAACCTCCAGAACTCCTAAACTTTGCAACAGAGGTAAAGTACCTAGGTCTTTCTTTAACAGCAAGTTAACATGGAACTCGCATTTAGAAAACAGAGTCAAAAGAGCATACATTGCTTATGAACAATGCTACCGAACCATCGGGCGCACCTGGAGTTTCTCCCCCAGAGTCGTTGCATAGACTTACACGGCTATCATAAGACTTATGCTAACATACAGTGCAGTTGTCTGGGTGCCGAAAACCTAAAAATTAACAGCTATCCGTAAACTAGAACAAATTCAAAGAACAGCATGTCTCAACATAACAGGAGCCATGAAAACAGCACCGACCAGAGCCATGGAAGTCATTCTTAGTCTCACTCCCCTTGACATTTACATCAAGGAGGTTGCTTTGACAACGACACGCCTCCGCATGGTTGGAATAGAACCTGATGTAGGATCTGGTGAGGC